TTGTACGACCACTGATTTGCCTTTTTTTAATTCTTATACAGAAATTATTTTGAAACAGTTTTTTAAAACATTGTATAAGTTTATATCATGGAATTGAAATGTTTTTCATCCGAAATATTTTCTTTTCGACAAAGGCGGGAATTAAGATTCTTGAAAAATTTTTTACTGTATGCGACGCTTGAATAATCAGATTGTACACACAGTTCTGTTTTTTTTTTTAAATTTCCAGATGAAACAAAGAGCGAAAACTTGTTAATTTGCAGAAGTTGAACTAAATTCGCTTACAGATTCAGAGCTGTCATCTAATTATCTGGATTATTCTTCAGATGAGTAGTGCTGTAATATTAGCATTTTTTGATAAATTTTGTAATTTTCAAAAAATAAAAAAAAAAAAATTATTAAAAGATTTTTCCTCCTATTTTTTTCATTTTGCTGTAATAAACTGCCATGCTGTCTAGTGTACGAAAAAAAAAGCAGGAAACACACACAACTTGATTTGAGACTAATCTCATTGGCCGCACTATTGAAAAATATCATTCAGAATAAATTTAAGAAGTGGGCTACCAAGTTCAGAGTGTAATCCTCTGAGGCTGACAGAAAGACATTTTGTCGAATTCATTGTTCCCACCAATAAGAAACTGAGACCAGCCAGACAATGTGTTCGAGAATAAATGAAAATGGAGAGAATCCAAAAGAAGACGAGATATATCTAACCTGATTTGGTCGTAACACTTTCTATTATCCTATGCTTCAAATTGTACACACACAAAAATATTTCTCAACAGTTTGATAAAGTGTGAACATATGAACAAATTCAGTAAGTATGAGGAAAAATTTTATATATTCCGTATATGCATATAAGCCGAGAATTTATAGAACTTTTTTAAACCGGCTTATATGTACAAAACTGCTTATCTCGTAACAAGATTAGCTTAAGAAAAATTATTTTTTAGCATTTTTTCGTTAGCCATGAACTAACGATATTGAATTTTTAACTTTTTGGATTTTTAAATGAAATCTTTATTTTAAAAAAGGTTGCATGCACATCCTTTAAAATCAGTGTCAGGACTCGAATTTCCAAATAGATCATAAAATTCAGTTTCAATCATTGAGATGCCTAAATGTATACGACCATCATGAGGCGATTTTTCCTCTGCTGGCTTCAGATTGGGTTTTCAGAAATAAAACTATTGTCGTTGGCGTCAGGGGTTTTCATTCACTGCGATTCGATTGGGAAATATCAAATTGATTTTTTTATCTTGTCAACATTTCACTGTCATGGAGACATAGTTGGGAATTATGAGATTTTTTTTTTCATTTCAAATTATATAAAAGTTTAAAATGTGGGGTAAATTTTTGTAGAAAAAATACATGCTCGGGTTTTGTACATTATATGAAACATTCTGCCGAATTTTATTGCATGCTGAATGTATTTAGAGAAATTAAACATTTTTGGGGTTTGTGTTTCACAAATAAAATTAAATAATGGTTTAAAATTTTAAAATTGAAATTATAAAATCTTCCGTTGCCTTATTCTATTAAGTATGGTGTTTAATTATATGTGCTTCTTTGAAGTATCTTGGGTGGAAAAAATGGCTGGTTAAGTGTAATTCAGATATGACATTGTGTCGTATTTTAAATATTTTGTTATATATACATACATATATACATAATGTTAAATTGGTACCATATCATTATAGGCCTATTAAGACAAATGTGATGAATTATGTAACAATAAATATTCTTCATTTAAACAAGTTCCTGAACAAACAGATTAGTGGTTTCCAAACTTAAAAGTCTTCTGAGCTACCATACCTTTTCTAAATCTTATTTAGCTGCCAATCAAAACAACTACCAACTTTTTAATAAAATTTTACATTTGATTATTGCCTGTGGTTTAATGGAAGTGCTTTTATTAAATAACAAATGTAATAACTAATTTTTTTATAAGCATCAGCTTAGTGGGAGAATCAAAATTAGTCAAACGGAGCGTTGACGTGATCTGATAAAAATGTGTCATACCATAAGCTACTAATAGCTCGCAATCGATGATTTGGCAATCACAGAAAAAGATCAAACTTTATTTTGTCTTATCAAATATACAACTGTCATACCTCTAATAAAGTCTTATGTATTTATAAAATGTGTAGATATAATGTTTAAAACGTAATGTTAGGGGGATTGGTAATTCTTTTGGATTTAAAAAAGAAATATGCCTCATAGATAATATAAATCTTGAACATTTGTTAAAAATATTAACTTAAGTATAAAATTCAGAAGTGAATAAGTGTCTCTTGTATGTAAATAATGAATTATATTCACATTATTGCTTCACTTGCAATTATATTTATTTTTTTTATTGTATTACTTTTTTCTTTTGTAAAAAGAAATATTCTAACCGCAAGGTCTATTACGCAAATAACTTAGCAATCTGCAGTAACAAGTGATGAGATAATGCGACAAGCATTTGTATTTATACTGACCATAACAATGCGGTACATAGTTTCTGAATTAGATGGTAATATAATCGTGGTTATCTACCCCGAACCGGATATTAAGAGACAGGGAACACAATTTCCACATTAGCCAGTTCTACAATAATAGTCTCGCTCTTACTTTATCATATTTTAGCTCTAGGATTTGCTAAAACTCTTTCTAGGAAATAAAATAAGAAATTCTGCTATACTTCGAATATAGATCACTTTCAAAACTTTATTATATACATGCATATTAATATATATATTTCCTTTTCACGATTCCTTAGATATAATTTTTGTGTTTGGTTTTAATGGTCCATCAGTTTTTTCTTATGGAAGTTGGTGTAAAATACTGTTTTTGGCGCGAAGTTTGTAATCATGACGTGCTGCTACGCTGTTGTATATTGTCTTCTAAAAAGTACTATTTCATTTAGAGTTTTAATTTTCTATCTTATAGGAATGCATATTTATTTTTACTTTTTTTTTGTACTTTTTAGCCTGATATTTGGTATTGAGGACTTAGTTTTAGTACTTTTGTTCTTTTTCTAGTTTTAGGATTATTGTCTTTAGTGTTAATGGAATCATTTCTTTACACTATTTTATCTTCTTTACAGTCTAGTTGTATAAGGAAGGGTTGATGTAAGGAAATGTAAAAATCTAGGGAAGGATTAAAATACAAGTAGTGGTAAAAATATAAGGAAGGGGGTTAAGTGTGCATAAGCTACGTTTAATCCTACAATCTTTTTTCTTAAGGCTAAGAGTTTGATAGTATACTTCTGAGACTATTTTATTTTCAACCTATGCTGTATTGTTAATTTTATATTTATTGCTTTGTTTTATTATATTTATCACAATTTAGTATATTTGATTACTGATTATATGCATGTATATATATATTTCTCTAGAACTTCTTTATAATCTAATAATTGTTTTTAGATTTACATAAATCAGAAGTTTCTTTTCTAACTCCTTATTTTTAAATATTTTTGAAAAAGCTTCATTTCAAGTAAATATTTTTTAGGATAAATAATGTTGTTGTTGCCGTGTCCTTCCCTTAGGGAAGGAATGAAAATTGCCAGAGCCTGAGACAGGTTGGGCTTCTACTCGATAGATTGCGACGCCACCGATCTCCACCTCTACAATTTAGGCATGATACTGGAAGGGATACAAATGTTCTCCAGCTCCCGGCACCCGTGGGTTCTGCTGCGACCACCCATAAGACTTTCGAACCCACTGATTTAACGAGCACGTATTCCATGTGTATTTGGAGGGTATTTGGTGGCACGAGGGTAGGCCCTCCAGTCTGGATTTCGATGCGCTAACCACTAGGCTACCCACGGCCTAGGATAATTAACTATGTGTTTTAGTCGTGATAATTATTACAGTTAATTTATTTTCATTTTAGTTTGTAATACTTTATATTTAAGTATATTGTATAGTAAAGTAGTTTTTAACTTGAATAGAGATAAAACATTGAAGCACTTGGTTGCACGTTTTAATTGGCTGATTTTCATTATTATTTTTTTAACGACATTGAAGGAGTAAACATATTTCCTTTGATCAAATAGTACAAAACAAAAATAAATAAATATTTCCAAGTGATAAATTTCGAAGTGTGTCTTAGAATTTTCAGTATATTAATCTTATCCCAGTATATTAATATTAATACATGTTACTCTCTAAAGAAGCAACAAGAATTAAAGCTCGCAAATTTTTGTTAACTAAATAAACTCACAAGACTCATTACGAGAGGTAAAAATAAATTAAGATTTAGCTTAAAGTGAACTGAATAGTAAAACAACTTGTATAGAAAATGCCAAAACTAGGAAAGTTGCAACTAAGTAATTTGAAAAATTCAAAATTAGCTTCAGACTAAATTTAAAGTAATCAGGTCTCTTTTGTAATTTAGTTTATATCAGTTTAACAGCCACATCAGTAGCTGACATTGTTTTTAGCTTAACTAGTGCAAATTAAAATGCCGATATTTTCACAGCATTCAAGAAATAATGTTTTGTTCTAAATTACAAAATACTTATTACTTCAGTAATTTCATAATTGCACACACACATTTAGGAAAATTAAAGCATATTTACAAGATGAAAGGGAGTAAAATCATATTTACAAAATAAATTATTTGCAATTTAGAAAGTAATTCACAAATTCAACATATATTAGTTTTTTTAAAGGAGTACGGACATTTTATATTTGAATGAATATAGTTATGAAATGACAAGTAAAATACAAATATATTAAGTCCATTCCTACTTAGGTCAACAAAGAAAACTCTTATTTTAATTATTTTTACTAAATAGTTACAATTATTACAAATATGTATGATCCTATGATCGAATCACAATATTAAGTGACAAAATAGAAAGAGATTTTCCTTGTAATTTTTCGTTTTCCTTTCTATATATAGTGTTGGACCTTTTTTTCGTGTGTTACTATTTGTTCATTAATTAAGTTTAATTATTCTAATAAAATAGTATAGTAAAAAAGAAATCCCATTCTCAGAAATTAGGTCATCCCAGGTGGGATTGAACCACGACTTTTCGATTAGAAGTCCAACGCACTATCCACTGCGCTACTGGGACACAACGAACGATTTTCCGTTCTATATATGGTGTTGGAGTATTATTTTTCAGTTACTATGTATTCAATTTTTAATTTAATTAATGAATTAATAATTGAAAAAAACTGTATTAACATCAAGTTTACCACTACAAGTTTAAAAAATGTATTTGAACTTTAATGGATGAATATAAAGCATTTTATTGACGATTAAAAATTTGAACAAGATACATATCTATATCTCTATCTTTATCTCTATCTATCTTATCTATCTATCTATCTATCTCTCTCTCTATATATATATATATAAATAGGAAGAGAGAGAACTAATAAATAGTAGGAGTTGAAAGAGTAGATTAAATAAATTATTAAAGAGACTTATTATAAACATGAAATACCACAACAAACCATACGATATACAAATGTTGAAAAGTCTGTGGCTGGTTTATAAATGCATTTCAAATAAGAAGTCAAATAATGGCGGAATTTTCTTTCAATGTAAATAAGTTTTCCCAATTGAAACTTGCAATTTTTTTATGTAATTTTTAATGTTTCTTTTCATTTAGTTCTTTCTTTCAAAATCTTCAAAATACGTACAAAAAGATGAAACTTTTAAAATTATGAGATAATATGAATCTATGATGCATCTTTTTAAAGTAAAATCATTTAAGAAATAAATAGTTAAACAAAATTCTAAAATGTTTTTACTCTTAGATAAAAGGAAATCTAGACATTTGATTTCACAGAATTCTTATTAATGTACAAACATATAGCCTTATAAATAACATCAAAGAAATTGTAAAATTCGATATATTTGAGTTGTAATAAACAACATTTGTACTTATTGAATTAATAGTAGCGAATAATGAATAAAATTTCTACTCAATGAATATATTTTGTTTACTTATATATAGATGTTTATTTATAAAATATAGTTTTATTTGAAGTGGGGAAAATATATATGGCTTCTATAAGGATTTTTTATGTATGCGCACAAATATTGCTATACTGGTTGCTTAAAAGTAACATTTTTTTCTAAGGGGAGGTATTTACTCGTATGCACAATGTTTTTTTATATGTCGCTGTTTCGAATCCGGTACCACAGGAAATTTTTAAATCCTGGCTCTTATCACACACACACAAAGTGTAGTATTCATTTGTTCGAAAATATTAATATGTGTATATCGAATTTGAAATGACATTAATGCTCATTAAGCATGTAAATTAATGATTGAAACTTGAATATATTTTTATTTTTACAAATCACGTATCCTCCACAACCATAAGAATTAAAAACAATGTTTCGGATTAATTGTAGACTTTATGTCTCAAAATATAAAACACCGAAATAAGTATCCTCATTCCCATGTATTTGTGTGTGTGTGTGTGAGTAAGCATTATCTTGAAATAACAGTACATGGAATACATAAAATAAGCATTGATAAAGATGACCGTGGCTTTAATAGGTACATATAATTCTTTAACACGCTCCCACAAACACCTGCGAGGGTCAGATGAAAATGAAAATCATTTAGCAATACCTACTGTGGCTTAAATAAGTATACACAATTCCTGTACACAATTCCACAAACACCTGCGAGGTGTCAGATGAAAATAAAAATCATTTAGCAAAACTGACTGCGGCTTAAATAAGTATACATAATTCCTGTACATACTCCACAAACACCTGCGAGGGTCAGATGAAAATAAAAATCATTTAGCTAAACTGACTGCGGCTTAAATAAGTATAAATAATTCCTGTACATACTCCCACAAACACCTGCGAGGTGTCAGATGAAAATAAAAATCATTTAGCAAAACTGACTGCGGCTTAAATAAGTATACATAATTCATGTACACACTCCCACAAACACCTGCGAGGTGTCAGATGAAAATAAAAATCATTTAGCAAAACTAACTGCGGCTTTAATAATTATATGTAATTCCTGTACACGCTCCCACAAACACCTGCGAGGGTCAGATGAAAATAAAAATCATTGAGCAAAACTGACTGCGGCTTTAATAAGTATATATAATTCCTGTACACGCTCCCACAAACACCTGCGAGGGTCAGATGAAAATAAAAATCATTGAGCAAAACTGACTGCGGCTTTAATAAGTATATATAATTCCTGTACACGCTCCCACAAACACCTGCGAGGGTCAGATGAAAGTAAAAATCATTTAGCAATACCAAATAAAAACACAATATTTGTCGGGTTTATTTGTATATAAAAAACAATAATGTTATATACTTGAAACTTATTTCACTTCTTTACGTAATCACTTCCTACATTTAAACATTTGAACTATGTGCTCACGAGCTTGAGAATTCCCATGTTATATTTCTCTGCCCCCCAGTACATCAAGCTTGAGGTTGAATAAAATCGTTATTGTCAGTTTCTAGAAAGACAAAGGCAAGCCATCCAAAACAGAAGGCGAATAATACTTTTTTGAGGACGTGTGCTTCTTTACGACAATGCTTGCCACACTGCAGTAGCAACTCATGAATTGCTGGATCAATTCAGGTGGGAAAATTTTCCTCATGCACCTTGCTCCTTGCAAATACCATCACTTTCCTCAACTGAAAGAAGTTTCAGGGTGGTAAATGCTTTGAAAGTGATGAAGAGTTGCAGATTTCAGTGTCCACCTGGCTTAGTGCACTTGGCGAGAGAAAATTATATCATGGAAATTCTGAAGCTTGCGTAGATATACAATAAATGTTTAAATGTAGAATAATTATGAAGAGAAGTAAATGAAGCCTTTTTGATATACATAATAAAAAAAATTTCCCAGTAAATATTGTGTTTTTATTTTCGAATAAATAAATAATGTTTTTTTATTTTCTGAATGACCCACATCTATATAAGAACAAGATTATATATATATATATATATATATATATATATATATATATATATATATATATGTGGTACATATATATATGTGTGTGTAAATGTACATATATATATATATATATATATATATATATATATATGAATATATGTGTGTAGGAGAAAAGTGGCTCACTCATCATGACTCACATAACAAGGAGACTCACTCAATCTACACGTCTAACAGTTTCGTGAATTAGACTATTGGACTTATAGATTAGAAAATTCGTAAGCATTTCTTTATTCAGTAGAGAACAGTTAAAAACGGGTTTGGGGGAAATTAACACCCAAGGATGTAGAAGAGGCTTTATAGGCAAAAATTGCCATATGTGTGATATTATACCAACATACTTAAAATTTACCGGCCATATTTCTTTCGTTGTGTGTGTGTGTAGAGATCTGCTAAAAACTGCTAAAGCCGGATTTTGCTTTCCAAGGAGAAGATACACGTAGTATGGGGGCGTAATAAATTAAAATTCCCCGTTTTTTAATTATTCTGTTCATACCCTTGGGATTTATCGACAATGGGGGGTGTTGTTGTTAAGTAAAAACTCGCAAAGAACGAACTTTGTCGAAATCCTCACCCATAGTAGCGTAATAATTAATATTTAGATACTGGTTTTACAGACGATATTTATATATTTACTAGCGGATGAACTCCCGAAATATATACTGAGTTATTCAGCTTTATTTATTCATTTTGTATCACGATTTCTTTTGTTTAATAATTCTTTCCCAAGAGTTTAATTTGAAATTTACTTGACAATTTTTAAAATATTAATATTTTGATCTTATGTTTTATTTTCCTATCTTGATTACTATATTTTTCAATTCACTTGAGCAAAGAAAGGATATACCTGATATTTTATTCATATACATACAATTAATATATTATATTATTTACTTCCGTATCAGAAAATTTATCACACTTTGATTATGGGCCTTGTCTATGTGTGATTGTGTTTTAGAGCAATATATACTGCGTTTTTGCAGAACTCTTCAGTTGCATATGCCTTTCATTCATGATCTGCTAAGCTGACACGTGAAATTGTTACACTGTATGACAATGCTCAGCTCCCCACTGTCAATGTGAATAACGACACCCTTTGTAATTTCTGATGGAAGTTCTTGCTCACCCCTGCATATAGTGTGATCTGTCACCACTACCCAATTCTCGGTTCATTGAAGAAATCTCTGAAGGGGAAAAACACCATACAACTCAAGAAACTCGATTTTTATTAAAGGTTTTTTACTTTCGAGATGTGCTAAACCTTTTTATTTGAGACTATTCAGTCTCTTGAAGCTTTTACAACATTAGCATGTAGTGCCTGATTAATATCATCATTGCCAATTTTATGTTATTTTGTGTTGCTTCTGCCTTCAAAAATAATTGTACACAAACAATATTTAAATAATGAATAGTTTCATATGTCATTTGTGTAAGTCTTTGTGTTTTCTCTATTTTGCTTCTTCTTTTTCTAGTCTTAGTGTCCAGCATTTCTTTATCTTGCCACTCCATTAAAAAATAATTAATTTGGAGTATTTTTGGATTATCTAGTTTAATTATATTTAGACTTTGTAAGAGACCAAAATATTTAAAGTTGTAAGATGCTCATATATATATATTTTCTTGCTTTAAGAGGACTCGGTACCCTAAAAATCACAAACCTATCGTTTTTTTTATTTTCATTTAATCTTATTCTTTGCATTATTATCTTTCGATTGATATATCACTTGTGCATGTCGAAAAGTTACAAGTTGAATAAAACTTCATTTGAAAACAAATTAGGCAATTCAGCCACACCCCCTTTTTAGAAAAAAAAGCTAAAAAATGCGTTACGATAAAAAAAATCTATTTTATAAATAGAAATAATAACTATAAAAAAGAATGTGTAGTATTAAAAGTAGAATATTTCGAGGCAATGCAATAATGTAATTTTCTTCTTTGTGAAATGTGTGCATGTAAAATTTTTAAATTAAGGCATTTTATATTAATAATTTTATAATTTCAGTTCTTATTCCTGATATATTTTTCATACAAATGTAATACTTTAATATTATAAGAAAAAAACAGCTAAAATTTCTGTCGTGACAGAAAAAAAATTTTTTTTAAGTTTTTCTTCAGTTTT